CTCTCTCTGTCTGTCTCTCTCTCTTTCTCTCTCTCTCTCTCTGTCTGTCTCTCTCTCTCTCTTTCTCTCTCTCTCTCTCTCTCTCTCTCTCTCTCTCTCTCTCTGCAATAAATACGCATGGTAGAAAGGAACGAAGTAAACAAGCATCGTGACACGTTGATACCTCCCTGGTATTGTTGAAACACTATGAGATGTCGTAAAAGTGAGAAGGTGACAGAAAATCGATATTCTCTTTAGGAAAGTCACATTCTACGATTCTTTAGTTGAAAATCTCAGCAAAACGTCTTTCTTTTCATCCACGAGAAGGATAGAACTGATGTTGGCCTGATATTTTTCAGATGTCGTGCATCTTCGTAAGGTTTCGTGTTATACCCACGTATTTATGTGTATGTGTGTGTATATGTATGTATATCATAATGTACACAGTGGCAAAAGAAAAAGTAACTAAAAAATGTGAACAATACGATGTATCGGTAAATCGGGATTATTTCTACGAGGGATACTATCCTGTTACGTTGACACGTCACGGTCGTCACGTTCGGACCACTTTGACACGAATTCGTTGAGAAGAGAAAAAGAGAGAGAGAGAGAGAAAGAGAGAAAGAGAGAGAGAGAGAGAGAGAGAGAGAAAAGAATTCTCTAAAAAACCTCAATCTAATCATTGTATACTCTTTCTAATTTAAATTGTATATTTTAATGTTTTCGAATTATTTCTTTCAATTGTTCTTGATCTTGATTATGTAATAATTTAACAAGTACATTAATGAATTAAAAAAACTACTTTAAAGAAATTTTATATTTTGCGATATTTTAATTTACAAATTCAATTTTCTTTTTAATGTATTCGTTTTTAATACGTTCAAGTTTGTTTCTCGTTAACAAAAGAAGAAAATGAATTATATAACTAATTTGTATCATATATGTACCATTATTCTTTTAAAAATGGAACGTTTTGCTTCTATCATTATCGTAATTTTAATAAATGTTTATATTTTTTTTTATTTCTCTTGTAATAAGACAATAAGATATTTATTTTTATTCGTTCTTAAAATATGAATGTCGAAGAAAGAAATCCGCTAAAAAACTGACATAGTGTTTGCGTCTATAGTTGCCGTATCGATTAAACGTCAGGTACCCGTCATAAAGTCGTCAAAAACATGGTTTTCATCAGGACAACATCCTCGGTCTGAATTTACAACCATCAGCAACAGGTATTATGAAAGGAGCTCTTTTATGATGGAAGGTGAAATTCAACTTGTATTATTTTCATGACAGAATATTTCGTGATATCGACAGTCCATTTCAACGATTTACATTGATTGTTATTTTTTCTCTAAACCAGCAATATCTTAATAAGTCTTTTCGGATAGGAAAATTCAGGAAGAAATAATATCTTTAACCTCATGTGTTAGCAGGGAAGAGCTGTCGTCAGCAGGGAAGAGCAACCACTTGTTGAACGTGCTCGTAAATTTGCATCGGGACTGTAATCCTGGTAGGCTCATCTCCAAGTGACGTCATTGACGATCTCTTGACGGACTACTGACATTAGCAATCACAGTCTTCACAGATGTTTGACTTTCATCAATCGACTTTATACCGGATCAGATAGAATAGCTTATCAGGAGAGATCGATAGTAGCCACCTTGACAAATGTAGTCATTACTCTACCCTATGTGCTCCCCTAATAGTTGCAAGCTATTGTGACGTCTGCATCGAGTGGACATCTAGCACGAAACATTGCCTGCATAAGAAGACTAAGATAAAAATCTCCTTTCCGAGACATTTGGCTAGGCGTGACAATGAAATTCTTATAGGACAGCTAGTAATCGATCCGTCGACGTCAAAACGTTGGCGGGACACCCTATAAATCCCTCAAACGTCTGCTGATGCCCTGGTGCACCTAAACGCCTTGCGCCGCCGTGACGGACAGATGACTGACGTTTGAGACTGTTTAAAGTTCTCTTTCCATTGTATTCTCTGTTTTTGTGTCGATCGAACTGTCTCCGTAATACTAGAGATAATTAGAGAAGAAACAGAGAGAGAAAAAGGCGAAAAAGTAGGAAAGAGAGAGAGAGAGAGAGAGAGAGAGAGAGAGAGAGAAAGGGAGAAAGATGGAGATAAAACTTGTGGAAGGGTGAATTCGAAAGACTCGAGGAGAAATGAATGGAGACACTATGTGCAATTTCCAACTAGACTATCCGAAGCCTCCTATGTAGTCCTGATACACTGGCGTCCTTACGACGTAACATGATGAATCCATGACGGTAAATCGATATTCATCATAATTTTATTTTTGATCCCTTTTTCCCCAAGACGTATCAATAATTCCTTTGCGTTTCAGGTGAAATGAAAGAAGTTATTAGCTTTTCTATCAAAAAGTTTCAAGTCTTTAATAAATTTGTATGAAATTTCTCTTTGCTCGTTGAAATTTGAAGTTGATTCAGCTCTCTAAAGACGTATCGATAACAATAACAATCTATTATAAAATTCAGACTAAATTCGATAGGAAACGTTTCAGGGTGCTTCGGATTCCAGATCATTCGGATGTTTGTAGTTAGTAGGAGAAAACGATCGAGTCCAGCGTACCAGGCGAGTTTCCATGATCAGGCTATCATCCGGAAATGTTAGAATCTCGATGTTAAATCGTTTACTGTGTTCTAGAGTTCCGGTACTCGCATTTGATCGTGGATGACTCATTCAATGTTAGTTAAATAGAGAAAGAGAAAGAAAGAGAGATAAAGTTATTTAAATAGAGAAAGAGATTGAAAGAGAGAGAGAGAGTGAAAGAGAGATAGTGAAGAGAGAGAGAGAGAGAGAGAGAGAGAGAGAGAGAGAGAGAGAGAGATGAAATACATAGAAATGTAAATCGTATCACGTTGATCGAGAGTTTAATTTTAAACGAGTCAATAACATCAAAAGCTTGGACTATCCGGCTAGCAGACGAGAACGGAGGAAGATCGTAGGTACGAGATATGGTAAGCTGAAAAGCGTAAAATCGATTCTACTCTCAGCAGCTAGGTCTCCTCTACCTAGATCCATCCTAGATAAACGCGCCTAAGATAAATTCTAGTCGTGGCACCAGGCCATCAGAAGCAGCATGGACTCGTATGAGTTTTGGATGTTCTCGTTCGATGATAGTATATGTACCCGTTGAATAAGATCATTTTAATTGTTAAACAAATAAATATCGATTTTACCAAAAGTATTATCCTAATTCTTAATAATTTTATTCTATTTTTCTTCATCGTTAAAATTCATCAATGAAGAATTAATTCTAAAGTATTCTTCAGAATTATATAAAAATAACTAGATCGATATTGACAAATTTGAAAAGATAACGTTACATATATAGAACGATCTTCAATTCTTAGAGTTATCGATCGTTTCTATTTATAAGAAGAGAAAGGACAGGTAAGGTTCTCCTCGTTCTCGACAGGTGCAAACTGGTTCCACGAGCATCAGGCTGGTACTTCGCCGTGAGAGCTTTCCTATCGGATGAGAGAGAAACCCCACCTAGCTAGACCGTCATAGGCATGGAAGGTTCCTAGTGGGGATTAAACTAAATATCCTCGGTGGGGGTGGTTTCATCGTTTGGCCACCTCCACTGAGACTTCCGTGCCACCAGGATGACAGTCGAAGGTGGAGGCTTGTTACGTTTCCACGTTTTATCAATGCAATATCCCCATATTGCTATGAAAGACGATGGAAAATTATTTTTTAAGATTCATCAATATAATAAATTCAATAGATAATATTTCTCTATAATCATTAATAAAAGATATAAAACCAAGCAAATGGATTTAAAAAAATTCACGATATAATCGTAAATCGATTAATTTTAAAGGTAATTAACAAAAATTATTTAGTTGATATGAAAGGTAGAAAACTTGTCTCTCGCTTTTCAGTACAGAGGAAAATCATTGGCTTGCAATTGCGTCGACGCCTGACATGTTTGTTGCAACAGGGTAGCATGTTAACCATAGGGGTTGATTCTTAACCATAGTTTCGATAGGGTGGCTCACAGTGACGTAACAAAGCGCGCGTTCTGCTGGGGTAACATGAGATGAAGACTGGTAGAACTACCCCTAAAGTATCGATCTGCCCTAAACAACTTTTCTCAAGGTTCAAGCGAGTTTCTTTAGAATTAATAATATTTATATTATGTTAAATTGATTATGGAGTACATAGAGATTAACTATAGAGAAATAATAATTTTTATATACTATGAATAAATTTTTTACGTTTACGTTATCGTGTACAATTGAAATTATGTAGGAAAATTCGAGCTTATATTAAAGTACACTAACCTATCGAACGAGCTTGTCCTTTGCTACGTCACATAACCGACAATTTCTACCCGGCTATCATATGATATCAGCTAGCAGGTTGTGAACCCTTTCATGCTTTCGCTTGAGAAAACACAATGGGGGTGACCACATCAAAATGCTTTTTCGAAGCTTTCCACCTCCAAGGAATAGGATTACATGTTCCTAGCTAGTAGTTTATGGGAATGAAGTTTAATTACATAAATGATCCAAATAAAATATATTATCGTAAAAATATATGTTATCATATATGTATAGAAGACAATTAAATTAATTTATAAATAAATATGTCTATTAAATTGTTATATTATTTTATTAAAAAAAAATTTGTTAAAATTTTGTTTATTCTCTCTTTTTCCTTGTTTAATTTTATTTAACTTGACTTTGATTGTTAGTATAAATTATAAAAGAATTTGCGGTTCTAAGTCGCCTCCAAATAACAGGACAACATATCTTCACGTTAGGCTCACCTGTCGAGGGTGTAAACCCTCCCGATAACTACAAGCTAAGTAAATCGATAGCTTACTTACGCTTGAGGAATGATGAATAATAAGAACAATATTTAAGAAACTTGTTTTATCTGACTTATTAACTGAACAACTACTTTTGCAAGTTCATATATTATACACAATTAATTAAGATAAAATAAATAATAAATATAAAGGAGTTTTTTACCTGGTGGAAATCTTTCTCCTACAATCGTTTCAATCCATTGTTGAGCTTCAGCTTCTTGGCTAGCTTCTCTTTTACCAGCAACCTAAAAAAATTAAATATAAGAGAATACTTAAAAAATGCATAAAAACAATTAATTTGTAGGAGATTTATAATTTAATAAAATTTTGAGTTGTAACCAGTAATTTCACAAAACAGTTCTCATGTTGAGAATGAAAGTAAAATTTGCGGTCTGCAAAAAACTACTCAATTTATGTTTTGGTTATTTTATCAGTTTCCGTAGAAACTTACAAAAATTGCCGTAGCCGATGGTATTTCACATCGTCATGGCGGGGTATTGGTAAAAGTTTTCAACTAGCAATAATCGCACCTCGGCAGACCCTCATTGGTTACGATATCGCCGCTGCGCAAAGCTGATGAGACACTCGTCGTATCCGAGAATTATACAGTTGCATAGAACTTGTACTTTCGAGAAATATTATTTCACAACGCCACGTTGCGGAGAGAAATGAAACTAAATAATCTTCACGACCGAAGTAGCACGAAACTTTCATTAATCGTTACTTAAACGAAAAGAAAGTCAAATAGATTAGTTAAGATCAATATTAAAAAATAATAATAATGTAAATAATAATAATTTGTTATTGCTATCATAAAATAATAAAATAACTTTTTATGTTTGAAATGAATTTCCTTGATAATTACATTCAGCGTCACTAAATGACACTTTATATTGCAATTCATTAATAAATAATCTATTTCAGAACCAAAACATAACATAAAACATATGATATATAAATATAGATGTATATAAAATACAACATAAAAGCTACATCTGTATTAATAGTCTACAATCTATATTTGAATATATAATATACTCTATAAGAAATTTTAAAAAACAATGTATATCTATAAATTTATTAATTTTTTCTACTTTTTGTTTTGAAGAGTTAGTTACTTTAACAAATGAATAATTCATATATTATACAAAAGAATTCAAAGAGAATTTGAAAATTTGAAGTAGTGATAATGGAGATATTTTTCAAAGGTTGATTTTAATTGCAAAGTAAAATAATGTGTGATCAATGATAGAAATATAAATTTGACAGGTGTATAAAGAAACATTACGTCATCGTTAAAATACACTCGAATTACATTTCAAAGAGGTTTAGATGAAATAGTAGCATAATCGTTCCAGGTGTCTGTGCAACTACGTAAATGCGATTTGCTACGATAAACTTGGAAATAGCGTGCTGATTGATGAAATCTAAACTCGGCGGTGGCATCACCCTTCGAAGTGGCCAGAATCCAGAAATTACGACGTTTAGACTTATCGGCGTTTTCAACTGGCGACAATCCACGAAAGTTAACCGTTTTCTTTCTTATTGCAAAATACTCCTACTTGTTCGAACTTTTCCACGTTTGCTATTCTAATAACATTTTTTTGGAAACTTATATTTTAAAAATAACATTTAAATATGTGCAAATATATATCAATAATAAGCGATATATTTTATTATTCTCTTATTTTTATTATAAAATATAAGGAAGAACTTTTAGAATAAATTTAAAAATCATAGATATAGAAACGTCGAACGATTTATTACTATCTTCTCGTGGTTCTCAAATTTTTAAATCGTGAAATTATATTCCACATGAGAAACTATCTGTACGAAGAGCGCACAAAAATAAGCAGACAGTTCTCTTGTATGACCTAAATCTTAAATCTATTGCAATTTTCGTATTGAACGAATCGTTAAATAGAGGGAATCTTCCTTTTGAATGAAATAATTTACATGATAGAGAAGAATAATCGTTATTTTTCGATTCGTACGACGGTGATTATCTTTGAATCTTTTTAAGATCATGCATCTATTGGATTTTCGTTTCATTATTCTATTGGATTCAAAATTCTATTCGATTTTTTCGTCTCATTAATGTTTTTGGACATATTATAAACACATAATTAATTATACATAAAATAAAATTTGTATGAATCTTGTAAATAAGGATATAGTGTCAAGATCTGGTTACAAGTGGGGGTGTGGGAATACCCAATGGGCACTGAGCCAAAAATTCTCGTCGTTGAAGATCAGTAGGATGGGCAAGGGGGAGGGGATGATGCCATATAGCGCCGAGACGCTAGCGGTCCGACTTAGTCTACTCGGCAACATCGTTCAAAAGTTATTCTATATCGTAAAATTTGTTATTTGTTCGAGAGGTCAACGAAGTCGAGAGAAAAATGCCGGTATGTTTTCTCGCGGTTGTATATATATATATATATATATATATATATATATATATATATATATATATACATATATGTTCTCGTAAAGATGGTAACCTAATGTTATCGCAATGAAAAGAATTAACAATTTATTTATTAAGTGGCAAACTAATTTTTTAGGAATTCATCGATCCTTGCTTTTCGTACGATCTATAATATCACGAACTTTTCTAATAAATTTCTGCCGATCGCTGAAAACAAATCGCATGCCTCAAATCTGTGTGATTTTTGAAATGACATTAAGTATCCATACTTAGATAAGATAATCCTTAAAGATGTTAATAACCTTTTTATCAACGATGTATGTTCTTAAAAAGAGATAAACGGTGTAAAATATATCATTATTTTGAATTCAATTTCCAATCCAAAATACTATCATCCGCTCTTAAATTCGATATTGTATGTGTATCCTTGCACAGGTGACGAACGTTTTGATCGCAAGCCAAACTTTGCTGGAGATCGCGGCTATAATCGGATTTTAAATTTAGTAAATCGTTACAACACAAATCATCGGTTAGAGAGAAAAGGGAGCCTGAAAGAACGCTAACATGTTCGAGAATGAATCTTAAAATATCTGAGTGCGTCTCGAGGAGTTTAACACGTTGCTCACTTCCTTCCTTCCGTTTTTTTTCGGTTGATACATTACCGATAAAACTTAAAACATTCTTTGATATACGAGTCCTATCGAAATAAAAAAGAATATGGATCGCTTAACGTTTTTGTAAAAATATCGATGAGAATTCAATATGACGAGTTTTTAAAGAGAGAGAAAGATAGAGATAAATAAAAAAGAATATTGATCACCTAACGTTTTGATAAAAATATCGACAAGCATTCGATATTCGTAGAACTTGACGGATAACATCGACAAGCTCCAGACGTGAACGATAAATCAAGTAAACTGGCAGAGAGTGTATTCGTTTCATTCGATCGTGTTGCAGATTGTATAATCTTTGTTATACATTTGTAAAAACATTTCTCCCTACTCGCAAAAAAGAATGTTTCCAAAAATAATCATTTGCGATCGCGTGAAACGAGAATTCTGACGATCGAACTTTAGCATGAATACTGCGATGGACCAATGTACTGTTTGTTCATATATATTTTTATATACATGTGTGTGCACTTATATGTATGTGTTGATCTTCGAATTAATGCTATAAATACTAATTTACCGTTGGCAGATGTAAGAACATCTTGGCTTTTACTTGCGTCAGTCAAATTCTACACGTCGTAAATTGATCAATGCGTTATTAACTAGTTATGAAACCGTATCATACAGGATAGTGATATCGTCATAATTTCAATTTCATTTTCCTCGAATGTGTTCTAAAAAAAAAAAAAGAAAAAAACTTACAAGAAATAATACATAATTTAATGTTGAAGTCGAACAGGTGGGCGAAACGCATAACTGGCATTAATAGAAGCTCATGAAACTACGCCCATCGTATTTTATTTTCGACGTTGGTTTACACTCGAAAGTAATTTAACACCGACCGAGAACCGAATTCTATTTATGAATTTTGAACGTTTTTAAAAAGAGAAGTAGACAGGAAGCGTCCAGGCAATCGAAAGAAAAGCAATGTTTTATTTTTGTTTTCTTTTTCCTATTCTGTTTTTTCCTTTTAAACATAATTCATCTTCCTATCTGTCACAGGCTCGTAATAAAGAACAAGAAGCAGAAGTCCTCACTTGGATCGAAAATGTACTCGGTGAAAAACTTCCACCAGGAAATTATGAAGACATTCTCAAGGATGGCGTTGTTCTTTGCAAACTGATTAACAAACTTGCACCTGGATCCGTCAAAAAAATTCAAACGAAAGGGACAAATTTTCAGCTTATGGAAAATGTTCAGAGGTGAATGAATTTGTTGCTGAATTCGAATTTCGAAATATTTCTTATTGTAAAAAATAATAATAATGTTTTTCGTTTGATTAGGTTCCAAGCAGCAATCAAGGAATATGGAGTACCGCAGGAAGAAATCTTCCAAACGGCAGATCTTTTTGAGAGACGCAATATTCCTCAAGTGACTCTCTGTCTTTATGCACTTGGTAGGATCGTAAGTAATCGAACGACATTGAATTTTCATTTTTTCAAATATTTTATATTGTGATAGATCTGTATGATATTTATCTTATTTTTTTTTCTTCATTGAAAACAGACTCAAAAGCATCCGGAATTCAATGGACCGCGTTTAGGACCAAAAATGGCAGATGAAAATAAAAGGATGTTTACGGAAGAACAATTACGTGCTAGCGAAGGTCAACTCAACCTACAGATGGGATTTAATAAGGGTGCGAGCCAAGCGGGTCACGGTGGATTTGGAAATACTCGACATATGTAGATCTATGAAACCAGAACAGTTATTTATTATTAAATTTCGCTATAAATCGATCAATCAAAAAGGCAACGAAAAGGACAATGAAGGAGTAGAGGCGAAACTTTTTGACACGCGTACATTCGATTTCACAAATTTGCTAGTAAACAATAAGCCAAACACTTCACATCAAACATTTACATGACAACGAGCAAGATTAAATTGCTATATTTTACATATTCTCTAACTAAATATACATAACGATATCTACATCACAAGACATACACATTACATATACACATACACGAAGAAATAATTTATGGATAAATTATCGAATATTTTATTCATATTTCTTCATTAATATTTTGGATGTTTCGTAGAACGAACGTAAAGTACGATTGAATTTGATGAATAGATGAAAGAGTCAGGATCTTGCAACATATTGCTCGAAGATTCGACACTTGCTCAATGTTTATTGATAATTAATGATAATTATTTGATATTAATTACTACTGTAAATATAGCAGAATATCCATATATCCATCCAATCCTGTTTATCTTCCGCCTCTTTTCATAAGGTTTATAATAATATAAAATATAAATTTCTTATGTAACAAACAACATTTTTTTATATCTTTAATTAATTACGATAAAGAAACCGATAACATCATAGATGTATATTTTTGTACATCTATCTCTCTCTATCGCATAGTAATTTTTGAGAAATTAGTTTTCAAAACGATGTAACGAAAAATGACAGTGAGTTAAAAAAAAAAAAAAAAAAGAAAATATCATCATCAGTCTTTAAAAAGTTGGCTACAAACCAAATTACTTATTACGATACAAACAATAGATAAGTAGGTTTACGAATTTGTTTTACCATTGAAACAAATGTTTGTGAAAGTTCGAGATTACTTTTACCTATATATCCGAATAATTATTTTTAGTATTCGACGAAGAAATAAGATATAAGTCGGATTCTATTTGTAAAAGTTAATTTTTCCAAGAATCGTAATACGAGGAATGACACAATTTTTATGATTTTTCGAGAAACTCCACGGAAATGAATATCTTCTGGTGTGGTAAAAGTTAATTCAAAGTTTCGCTTGGCACACGAGTGCCTTTGAGTTATTTCTGGAAGTTGTACCAGCGTCAGCCATTACTGGACTCGGGTCATAGTCCTATATTAATTTATCCATGGGATTAACCATAAGATCACTTCGAATGTGTTAATACGACTTTTCTACATTCTTTTTTTAATTTATCAAGTACGATGAGACTCTGGTAAGACGAATTTCTGATACATGCTATTTAGTCGAGAAATAAGTATTCCTTTGCAAAACTTGCCTATTTAGTATAGTTTGTATAGAAAAGTACTGGAGAAGGCGAGAGAAAAGCAACGAACTATGTCGGCACGATGCGTAATCGCTGACTCACAATCAGACTAAAAACGAACGTAATGGAAGACAAATCCAGAATTAGACGATGGGGCTCTTAATAAAAAGTTCAAATTATAATTATTGAAAATATTGTTGAGTCAAATGATTTAAAAATATTTTCATGATTTGCGCTTTTACCTGAATGCGTCATTGAAGCGTGATCAAAGTCATGTTTATTTTTACTTGCTTATTTTTTGTTGTAAAATTGATATAATTCTCCATGTACATTATTATTGTTATTCTCCATGTATTATTATTATTATTATTATTATTATTATTATTATTATTATTATTATTATTATTATTTATTGAACAATATTGTACAGTGAAAGCGCACGACTCGTTGGTTTACCGCACAAGAATCATCTGTCAAATCACAGCTGATTAGAAAAACAATTGATGTGTCATATGTAAGAAAATAAGAAAACAGACCAACGTATCTTCCGCTATAATTCTTTTTTATTTATAATATTTCGTGGACATTGAATATGTGAAATTTATTTAAATTAACGAATCGAATCAATAAAAATACTCAACTTTGTTAAGTTTTAATAAAATGGTTCATAAAAGCCACGTGGAACGTATTCCAATGGCACTTACCTGCCACAACGGACGTCCAGGCATGATGAACTCAATTCTTGATTAATATCTTCGTGATTTTCTTCGAATACGGAATTTGTTGAGAAAGCACAGCCTACAAGTCTCGACTCAAGCGTAAGCACAAAAAGTGTGCGGCTCGGCACCGGTGCTGCGTATATATTCGTGACAAGTGTACGTTCGTATTAGTGCACGTGGGTAGCGTTTCTATATATGGATCACTTACTCACCATCGGCGTACTACGCTTATGATTGTATATGTGTGCCTTCAAACGCGCGCGCCCTTCGTTTCCTTCGCATTTCATTATACGATGAGCTCGCAAGCACCACGTGTTGTTTGCTTGCGATAACTGGAAATATATCATAACATACATGATTTCATAAAAGTATAGAATTTAACTGCGACTCATTTTAGAAAGCGCTTAGCAAAAAAAAAACGCGGACGGAAATCTCGAGTGGTTATAGCGTTTATTAAAAATACTTTCCATTAGGATTTTATGGATTCCCTTAATTATTTACAAAAGGACTAATACTTTTCAATGCACCTTTATTATATTTTTTTCTTAGAGATCATATCGATTAAATATTATTTATGTGTTAGGAAGATAATCTTAGTACTTATATTGCAATAATTTTCACTAAATAATGTTTCTATATTGTATAAAATAAATTAAAATATGAATATAATAATGATACTATTAATTAGTAATTAAAAAACTGCATCCGCAAAGGTAGCGTGGCCGAGCGGTCTAAGGCGCTGGTTTAAGGCACCAGTCTCTTCGGAGGCGTGGGTTCGAATCCCACCGCTGCCAATTTTTTTTTTTTTTTCCTCTTCAGAAAGGACGATGGAGAATCGCGTAAGCAGAAAAGATGACTTTAGGTGAGGATAGCATTGAAAGAGATGTGCGCGATTACCAGTATGCTCGGTGCGATTCTTTTGAAGGTCCAATGGGCTTGCGTCGGCACGCGGCGCCGTGGTTCACATCTAACAGGAGCACATACTCAAACGAAGCAGATCGCTCGCCTTGCAGTGGTGAACTGTTTCTGCGACATCTAGCGGTGACCTCGGATACTAATGCCGTAAAAATGGCGATTCTGCTCGGGATATTGTCATATACGTATAACTACGAAGAAATCGTAGCTATAGCTTACTGTTTAAGATATCTCTCTCAATGTTCATACTAAGTATTTAATTTTTACCGATCAAATTAATTGGATATTCTAACATAATATAATTCAATTGTTAAGGAAATTTTAATTTGATCGAATTGAGGCATAATACACTGAGATTCTTTGAAATAAATTGTTCTTTCATTTTCAAGGTTAGGCTTTAAAGAAAGAACCCGATAACCTCTCTCATGCTCTTGCAGTTCGATGGGATCCTGTTGAGATTGTTGTTGTCGGGGGCTCGCCATTCCTGACCATTCCATTCGGGAGAGTCGATTTTCTTCTTGCTGTCCGACGAACGACAATAGAAGAGAGAAATCGTAATAAAGATAGATGTAATGAAAGAAAAAAATCAACTGAAAGATGCTCCCATACATCTTGCTATCCTGATACAAGTTTCATTCGGAAGATGCCACCACGGACCACGCCCCATTGGCATTCGTGTATCGATCCCATTCGTGTTTCGTGTTCCATTTTGAAAGCGAGATAAGACGCTTACTTATATAGCTTTTACTTTTCATCCACATTTAGTCACGGATGTTTGTTTTCTACTTAATTCTCTTACGAATTAGAAAAAATTTTTCTCTGTGTCTAATCAAATTCATATTCGATGGTTATTTTATAAATCGTATTCGAAAAGTATCGATTAAAGATTTCAAAGATTTATAAAAATATACTAAACTGTTTTAATTTTATCAAAATAAAATTATTTATAAAAATATAGAATTTAATAATTTTGGAATGTAATTATTATATTGTCAGATTAGATTACTTATCTGTGAATTTCCTAATAACTAGACTCCGTGGCGCAACGGTAGCGCGTCTGACTCCAGATCAGAAGGTTGCGTGTTCAAATCACGTCGGGGTCAAGAATACGAAATTTTTTTGTCAATTTCAACAAAATTTTTATATAGCATCAATGGTTAAGAACCGTCGTAATAATTATTAAGTAATTCTACAACTTTCGAAATTTACTTTTAGTACTTGCGAAAGATAAAATGAAAGGTGTAAACAATTTAGAATATTATATTTTTTGAAAATGTCAAATAAGTCGGTTACGATATTAAAAAGGAGTGTAACTATACAAAAGGTTAAAAGTTTATCGATTACATTAATGTTGATATATCCCATCTGCATTTATTTATTTTTTTTTAAAGTTAAAATAATATAAATTTTAAATAGTCATCCTCGCGTGTAGATAATGGTCGTTTAAGAACATTTCATGACAATGAAGGCATTGAAAAACGCAGCCTGTTTGCGAGGAATCTCCTTCTCTTTACCTTTTCTTTCTGTGATCCGAAGTGCGGTGCGTGCTCACATCCCGCATAAGAACGGTGAGAGATTAGGATATCATGGACCAGAGAAATTTCTTCTCTCTCGTATGGTTGAGCGACATTCGCGCGGGTTGTCTCATTTAGCCCCTCCTGGCACTAGGCTAGCACGACCTTCCAAGAGGTCCGTCGCCTTACAGGCTTCTCTTTTGTATTTACGTGTCCTATGATTATTCCCTTGAATAAAACTTCAAGAAATATGGATATTAATCATATCGTATGATACGATACACGAAGAAAATTCATTCGAAATGTTAATAATATTTTCATTGGAATATTTATTTAATTGTCATTATGAAAAAAGAATAAAGAAAAGAAAAGAAAAGAAACGAAAGATTTCTTTTTAAAAATATAAACAATTCTAGGATTTTATTTATCTCTATCATTATTATCATATGTAAAAAGAAAATCAACTATTATTTTCCAACCGGGCTTTGAACGTGAGCTTCGTATGAAAAGAATTATTCCAACATTCGTTTCATTTATTAATTATCGGATTCCGTCTTATCTGGCAACACTTCGTCTTGACTTCGATCGCTCTTATGTTTTCCTACTTCTCTGTACCGACTGATTGAGTCTAAATGATTCGGATTGTTAATCATCAAACGTTCGTTTATTCTTGATTATGTAACAGTCATCATCGTGCCTTCGAGGCTTTCCTCTTAACCGATAAGCTACATGGATGACCAATCGTATTTGTACGACGAAAACAAATCAGAACGCGTGACCTTCGTTCGAGGAGAATTTCCAATGCTCATCATTTATTTGTTTTTTTTTTAAACAAATTAACGTAATCAAGTTTGTGAATTAATTCATATTAGAAAAATCTCAAATGCATTAACGTATACGTATATAAAAATAATTATGACTTATTTTGTTAGAAACTCGTCGCGTTATTTGTGTCGCCTCGCCTTTAGAAACATGGCGGTCGACATTATCTGTTCGATCATTTTCACAGGCCTTCGTAATCTACATTTAGCGGGTAGAATGGACATAATCAACAATTTAACCGACAAGTTGTTAGGAAAGCATGAGATCGAGTTGGTAAGATGAGCGAGCTAACGATCGAACCAAGGTGTTTCGTCATGCTTCGTACCATTCATGTTAGCCGTGGATCGGAAAGACATAATTTTGAGGAAGAGCCGCGCGGGCCCTAAGCACCTCTGTGACGTAGCGTCACTTTATTGGTCCACAATGATCTCTTTCCTCGGGCTTATTGGTTCATTGACTTTAAAACGGCCAGAATTTGGCAGATTCCTGGTCCAAGTACGCTCAGGAACGATTATGCGAGCGTCTTGGCCGGTGATCAACGCTCAGAGACTTTCACTAAGCTCTCTGGAAGGCGCAGTATTCTGTAAGATAGCCGATCACGGGACAGTGACACCGTTTTCCCCAAAACTGACGTTAATAAACTTCGTATGTCTCTTCCCTCTCTCTCTCTCTCTTGCTCTCTCTCTCTCTCTCTTGCTCTCTCTCTCTCTTTCTCTCTCTCTCTCTCTCCCTCTCTTTCTCTTACAAGCACACTCACACATTCAGAGTTAAACCGTGCTCGAGTTTACGTCAGTGCTCTCACATGCGAGTCATTCATATACATCTTTGAGCGGAGCTCGATACTCGTGTAAAAGATATATACTTACATTTCGCCAACATATCGAGCGTTATTACGCTTTCCCCTAAAATTAACATACATTCGTGGTGGGAAAGAGCCTTCTCGTTTCATATTCTCAAAGCTGAACGTACGACTTGTACGTGTACGTAATATGTACGTATGTGTACATATATCTCTTGTTGTATATACGTGACTCCGACTCGTTGACACACGAACGCTTCTCTGGCGTCATGGAATTGCAGTCGTCTGCATGCGTTCCTGTTGAAAAAATTCCTCACGGGCGAAAGTCAAGGCATGACGGAGTATCTTGCAATAAGCGAGAACGTGCCGAGGTCGAACTAACGTTTCCATGATGTTAGCCTGGCATTAGGAGGGGCTCGATGAGACAACCCGCGCGAAACTTTGTTCAACGTAGGGAGAGCCACAAGCTCCTTTACTTTCATGCATGCCGCATATTTCGATGCTCGCATGCGGGATGTGAGCACGCATCGCGTGCTTGTTACCAAGCACATGCTACGGTAGAACGCTAACCTATAATTTCGTGAAGTATAATGCTTCACTATATATATATTCTACCGTGGCATATGCTTGGTAACAATATATATATATATATATATATATATATATATATATATATATATGTATGTATATATATATGTATATGTATAAATTAAAGTGAATATGATAGAGGAAAGTAAACGTATCATTATGAAAGTAACTTTTACGTAAAGAAGAACTTTAACCAGTTTAAAGTTAGATCTTTCTGAGGTAACAGTTTAATAATGCTACAATATCTACGATAAACGTAAGTTAGATTTTTAAATCTATTTTATTAACATGTCAATGATACTTACAGGATTTAATAGGCTATACAAATATATTATTTTTCTGTGATTTTAAATTTGATAATGTAAAATTGTACAAATATTTAAAGAAATGTATTACATATAATCACAGAATTAAATTTATCTTTATTAGCAACTGTATAAATATATTACTTTAAATGAACAACACAACAAGACTCCGTGGCGCAACGGTAGCGCGTCTGACTCCAGATCAGAAGGTTGCGTGTTCAAATCACGTCGGGGTCAAGGTCAAGTTTCTTTTTTGTTATTCGTTTTTTTTATATCTCTATTTAATAACAAATATATTATTAAACATACTTTATTAATGTATTTTATGTTTATAAACTCTACGATTTAATTTTTTTATATCAATGATATACGTATAGGAAAAATTGACATCAACAATTATTTAAACGAAATAAAATTGAAATTTATTAAAACAGAGAAAGTAACTCACATCAGTTCTCGTACATAGACACAGAAAACTGTCACGTATATCTAACGATTGTCGAATGACTTCTCGATCTGACTGATGTAGCTAATGTTTTAAATCATGCTTTTTATATAAGCGATGAGTCGAACTTTCTAATATTTTGAAACTACTCGCTAATAAGTTCCTCGACTTAGAAAATTCTCGATTCATTGTCAGAAGATTCGTCGCAATGTCTATACGCTAATGTAACTTTATCTTGAGCTTTTCTTTTTCGTACTTGTGTTGCGTACAGACCGATCCTACATACTTGTAAATGTGTTGATAATATAAAACATAGATTTTACATTTTTATTAAAAATGGGATCAACTATATTAACGATTCAATATATACTAACGAATCCGTGTTAATTGTAACAAACAAGTTTCATTTAATTTGTTATGTACGAAGTGATCGCACTGTTCCATATTTACAAAAATAAATCTCTTAAGGGTTAAGGGTTCCAAATAAACATATGATTCGTTTGATCTTTCGTTTAAAAGCTCTTGCTTTTATTGATTGGTTTAACATATTACAGAAGACTATGAGCTTAATTAGAAGTATCTAAAAGTCGGACAATGCTCAGCAATGTGCTTTTGTCCTTCCTTGTATATTTTTGTAGGGAGTATTCAAGGACACACATTTTGTTTAATAATATATGGTCCTTCCTATGAAGAGTGCATACGTGTTCGCCAACAAATAAGTTTCAAATTCTAGAATATGATCGTGAATTATACAAGAATTGAAAATATCATTTACATTTTTCAAAATAATTACAAAGAATTCAAAACCATCTTGTTTGAGTTTTAATTTATTCCATTTCTAATTTTTACGTATAATTCTCGATAAGTAATCACATATATTATACATTGCTTTATAATCAATTTATATATAATTACTCAATGTTAAATGTTATACATATATCCATATACATTGATATCATTGATATGGAATCTTATATGTTACATAAATTTTGTTTTCTCTGTATTGAAATTTGAAACTTGTTACGAAGATAGATAAGGATAAATAAAGAACTCAGATGCAGGACGGGTAAGAAATTCTAAAATCCTTTTGTTCCTTCGAAACTGCCTAAAGCATTCACTATTACAGTTTCCTAGATATATATAATTTATAGCAAAGGTTTTGTTATTATCGAACTAATCGGGAAAATTGAACTGAGAATATAATTCTACCATTATAACAATGTTTAAAAGACGTTAAATACAAACGTAGATATATAAATTTTGTTTCTTGATAAAAAAATAATTATAGCAATAATTTATGTATTTATATAAATTTATTAAAAAAAAAATGTATATGTATATACTTCGGTTTTATTATTCACTTAAATTCAACAAAATGTAGCAGTCGTGGCCGAGTGGTTAAGGCGTCTGACTAGAAATCAGATTCCCTCTGGGAGCGTAGGTTCGAGTCCTACCGACTGCGGTTATTTGTGAATAATAATTTTTTTAATCCTATTTTTTATATTTTTTTATTTAAAACATGGTTGGAAATAATAGATACAAGCTGATATATATATAACTATTGTAATTTCAAAGTACGTCTTGTACTATATCCTACTTATATTAATATTACTTTTTTCCGAATATTTTCATTCTTTTTTTTTTATTCTATCTTTACAATCTAAACCCTTATCGTTGATGCATACGTGCGTCCCTTAATTGTTCACAGTACTTTCTCCTAAGGTTCATATATTACTATTAAAAATATCTATCCTTGGAAACTCGTTGGATATTCGCTAAGAAGACACATAGATAAAAAACACATAGCTACCTTTGTCCAGGCTTAGACATTTTTATTCAAGTATCTAATTTTCGATAATGTGTCGAGCCGGACGATAAATAAATAATGAAAGTAAACGCCTAGGCGCAACAAATCAAGGATTATCCAATTACCTAGTCTTGAAATATCCATTGATACCCTCTAGGCTACATGATCACTAAAACAAAGGGGCACATATGGAATATTTAAACATTTCAATGAACTATCCTGACCCACTCCCGACCAATGAGCATCTATTCCTTCCTTTTTCATGTTCAGATCATACTTTAATTCCGCCCTTTTTATTCTTTTTCCTAATTTCACTACAATCTTCACGGATAGTTCTAAAGACGTTAAAAAGTCAGTCAAGTTACATTCTTCAGACTCACGACATCTAGACTCTCGAATCTTATTAAACATTACTGGCTATTACTCTTTCAGAAATAGCAAGCACAATTAACCACACATCATTATAGAAAACACATCAACAATTGTACCTTATTTCAACAAATATACGGTGATAGTTTCAATTCGCGCAATATTTATTATCGCGCATCTACTTCGTGAGTTTCACGAGATCCTTTAAAATAACGCGCGTTTTCCCATTAATTTGCAGGAACGCAGCGAGAAGTATTTTGCTGACGACCTTCAACGAGCCGAGTGCCGCCGCTCTTATTCATCGCGACCATAACTCTGACGACAAAGAAGTGACGAGGGATAGTCCTTTGCAAATCGACTATCATCGCTGGTCCGGTGCAAGACGTGTATCTGGAAATCCTCTCGTAGTTGCACCTTCACGACGCAACATTTATCATTGATTTATCTTTATTATATATCCACACCCATACATCTCTTTTGTAAGTATTATAATAAATTAATATCTTAATTAATTTTAATTTAAACTACTATTAATATCTCAATCAATTTAATATACAAATTAGCGACAATAGTGGGATTGAGATATTAAGAGCAGTGTTACAAATTGCAAATGTATTCGGATGTATTAATGGTGATAATAGTTCAATGGTGATAATAGTTGACTTTATCTTTTCATGCTCTGTATATCTTCGTTTCGATCATATAAAAAGAAGTATTATAGTGTTAGTAGGACAATCGCATGTACAAGAAAACTAAGAAACACGATAACATTAGCCAATACATACAATGAGAAATAATATAGTAATCATAATCGAATCTTATTTTGAAGACTACTTAAGTTCGGTCTTAAGACACTTTCTAAATTCATAGCCGAAGAATAAGCAAAAACTCGAGTAAAAGCTCAAGATGATCTTCTTCCAAATCGGCTTAATATATTTCATAAATGTTTCTTATACGATAGAAGTACAGGCTTAAGTTTATTTCATTAGTGATATATATTCATGATCATTGAAATCATCATTATTAATATATATATATATATATATATATCGCAAAATAAAATGATCCTCATCTAATAAACTTAAAACATATCCAGAAATTAGAATGGTAAAACAAGACACATAACAAAAATATATTATTTACAGTATTATTTATAACGTATTTGGAAAACTGTAAAAATATCGATAAAAAGAAGAAGAAATATGATTTCATATCGTTAAAAATATATTCGGGACGATCAAATTTCTTTCCGATTTTATAATGAATAAAAATTTAAAAAAGGTTTTGTTTTTTGAAACATTCAATGTTCGGAATATTACCATTTAATGGAATATAAAACTAGGAAAACAAATAATCGTGGTTTATCAAAATACCCTATGTTACAATTATTGATCTGCTCGTATTGACAGATATTTTTATTTACATCGGACAAGCAGATTTAACTGTGTGTATGTGTGTGTGTAATGAGATAAATGTATGA